AATTACCCCCAATAACCCCCCCTATTTACGCCCCTGAATATTTACCACTGTTCAAGACAACAATATCTTCCCTATTCTATGGTTTGTAACCGGTAAAAAATGTCCACTCAACAGTCGACAGAAAAGTCAAATCAAGCCACTGTTTTTTATTTCTTAACTAAAAGTAAGGACAAACCAACGATTATTTTTTTGTAATAATTTTCATACTTTTTTATGTTCTTTTCAGGACAATGTTGATATTCTAAACTCCGGAGCGAGCAGTAACCAGAAAATTCAGAATTAGGAAGACGACTTTTAGAATCGTATTAAAACCTTAAAAAGTCGAATGATTTGAAACACAGCAATTTTGCAGTGAAAACAGACCTATTTTACTAAATTAGTAGTTTAATAAGTGTCGAGTAAAACTATTTGCGTTGTAAAAATATAAAATTCACATGTCATAATGACATCATCCTATTTCTCCCATTCCATTGTTTGTAAACAAGAACAGATGCATCAGTGTTCGTTTAGTATCCGAGGAGGATAAAAGCATTGAATTTTGAAAATAATAGTTTCATATGACTAAATATTTCATTGATTTTTTAAGTGAAAGATGGATCCCATGTCAGGCTGTGACATCCGTCTTGTGTTTAATTACCGTCCAGAGACAGTACAAAAGATGCGAACATCTCTGTAATAACTTTCCTTGCATTATAACCTTGATTCAAACCGCATATACACTATACAGGGTGTCCCACATCATACTAGATCGTCAATGGATCTCAATTACGATTGTCAGGACTTGTCAGAAAATTTAAGAAGAATGAATCATTTTGAAAAGTTGTAAGGCTGAAGGCACTAATAATGTCTTGTTGAAAATACTAGGTCTTTTAGTATTATGTGTTTATTATGTTTTAAAGCTTGGAGATAGTCTAATATGATATGGGACGCTCTGTACTACAGGGTGTCCCACGAAACATGGCAATTGGTGAATAGTTTAAAATGTCTTCTTCCATAATTTTATAAGTTGTTTGATACTTAGAAGAGACTAATACATTTTTAATATGACAGTTATACTATAGTAAAATAAATTTTACAGTAAAATATATGAGCTGAACATTTTTTTAAAGAAACAAACTGCAAAAATTCTTTAATATATAATACAGGAAGAAATCATATAAAACTATTCACCAACTGTCATGTTTCGTGGGACACCCTTTATTTCTGGACTTGCTGAATTTTTCATTATCTTTATGAACAGGGTTCGCTAAAACATTTTCTATAACAATTTTCTACGAGATTAATCTGTAAATTCTAAATTATCTTACGTATTTTTTTATGTTAAAAAAAGAGTTAACGCAAATTTCGCGACAATTTTCTGTACTTTCCTTGAAAATCCAACATTTTTTTTCGCGAAATTCCTTCCAAAGTTTAAAATTTGGTTAAACATTTTTTTCGCAAAAATTTTTCTGCAATTCCATAAGTTTGATATTACACATAAAGTTGAACATGTCATCTTTCTCAGTTTAATAAATACTCACATTTCTCTTCCTTAATCTTTCATAATTATTTTTTATAAAAATATATAAATATGAAACCAAAAACATTGAACGTATGAATTTTATTTTCTGTTTAATAAATACACAAATTTCATTTTATTTAAATTCAACAACCTGCATGCTCATTTATAATATGGAAATTCAATATTTTTTTATCAGAAGAATTTGGACTTTGAACAATTGTAAAACTATTCCCATTTGAAGAATTGCACTTGTACATGCAGTTTATTATTACATATCTTATATGTACATTCATGAATTTGCTGGGGGGGGGGGGGGCATGCGTAGTTAGGATTTACAAAAACAGCAGGAATTTTCATGTGTAAGTTTGCGAAAATCAAATAAGAAGATAAAAAGTGAAAAACAATTAATAGATAAAAAGCACGAGATAAAAACTAATGTCTGAATGTTAAAAAAATGGTTGAAATCAACCCCGTGTGCCATGGTTAAAGAGATCAAACTGAATCGGACTTTTAGGACCTTTGTAAAATAATGTTAAAATACAATGTACACTTATGTACAGTATCAAACATTTAATTGTCTTTTTTCTTCTAAAAACATAAAAAAAACATGCAGGGGCAGTCTATCATTAAGTGACTAGGTGGGGGGGAAGTGGCGAATAATTTCGCAGGATGAATTGGCACTTTTTCGAGTCATGATTTCGCGTTTTTTCCCCTGTGCAACAGTTTGGCGCATTTACGCGGCAAAGCTGACGCCAGAGATCTTAATTTTATCACAGAAATTTCGCATAAGCCTAGTGTTTGTTTTGTGTCAAGGGATTCCAGAATTTTGGAAAAAAGTTTCTTTTTCTCGGTTTAGCCACCATCATTCAAAATAGCCGCATGCAGAATAGGATTCACTCGAAGTGAACCATGGAAGACTGATAAATTTTTAAATATTCTTTTTTCGGTAACTCTCTGAAATTTGGCTGTTTTGGCACAGGTAGGAGAAAGGGGGTGTGCCCTCCCAAAACTATGTGACTCCAAGGATAGTTTTAGCATCATGCCCACTCTCCCTTGAATGACAGCTGGTAAGACTGCTGATTGAAAGCGGGTTTTTGGAGTCCCTAGGATCAGTTCCTACAGGTCTATGGTTGGGAGCCGGCGGTCGGAAACCGGCGTTGTGCCGAAACCAGTCTTCTGCTGTGCCGGGAGTGGCCGGCGAGGCGATGCTTGCCGGTGAACCTATGCTTGGTATGCTAAGACCCCCGCCTGGGGTTGCTGGAGACCGAATAGAATGTTCGGAGGATTCGATACTTCCAACTTGACTGGCGGGGCTTCCGCCTTCCCCGTCACTACCGTTACTTGAGCAACTGTTGGATGCGGCGGTTGAGGCGGGTGGGCGAGCATTGAGCGGCGGTATCGCCTCCCCATCCTCATCGAATTGAGTTGCTTCAATTTCCTGCTCAGTACGACCAGCCAGGTACATCTGTACTCTTATACACTTCTTCTTCCGTCTAAACAAAAATAAATTAGATCGTTATTTTTTATAAATCGTTTAAAGGGAGTGTTCGCGAAAAACGAAAGGGGGTATAGGCTTACCGCGAAAAAAGTGCCTTTGATCTCTACTTATCTTACTTCTATCGTAAAAAAGTCAATTTAATTTCAAACAAATTTCAGATATTACAACCAATAATCATAGATAATTTTTCGACGCATTCGTATATAGTTGATTTTTCATAATATTTTTCATTTTTTTTATATGATCTGATAGTTACTTTTGAAAACATTTAATCCTGTTTCAAGGATTTTTGATAATGAAGACTACATTTTCATATTTTCCGGGAATGTTCGAAAATCCAGTGCCAGCGAAATTTATTTTAAAAAAATCAAAAATATTATGAAATATTAACTGTATACGAGTGCGTCGAAAAATAATCGATGACTTTTGGTTGTAATATCTAAACGATTTGTTTGGAATTTAATCGATTATTTCACGATCCGAGTTGAATGTTGCAACTTTCTGAATTTGTATGGACGCTACGTTATCATCATTAGTCGTTTTTAACAATTTTCTCATTATAGACGCAACAGATAAAAGATTAGTAGCGATCAAAAGCGCTTATTTTTCCCAGCAAGCCGGGTCCTTTCATTTTTCGTGAACACTTCTTTTAAATCATACCTAACAAAAAAGTTAAGTATTTTTTCTCATTTACTTCTTTCTAATCAAATTTTGAATTCGAAAATAAATATTAAATTAATTTATCATTAATCTGAAGTTTTGTTAGTATGCATGCAGTTATCAAAACGCTTACATTTGTAAAAAGATAAATAAAGCATGAACTTGTGGATATATAAGATGCAATACAAATACAGCATGCATTGAGGACATATAACATGCAATAAAGATACAAGCATGCATTAATGCAGTAAATCTATAAATATATTAATTTCCCCCTTTAGACATAAAACCAACACGTAGAGTGCATATTCTAACCCACAGACAGTAATTAAAGATTTCCAACCGGAAACAAGCAATAAAACAATGAAATTAAGCCAACAGAGAGTCTCGAGTAGACACAAAACCAGACATTATAAAACAATCATGCATATACTATATACATACACACGAGTACAGGAATACTTTAAGAACATTTAATCAAGAAGGACTTAAACTAAGGGAGAAAGTGGTCGCCAATTAAACTCACTGCCAGGAGAAAGCACGTTTTAACCGCCATCTTGTATTTTAGACGTTTCCGCCGCAGCTGAGAAAATGGCGGTTCTGATCTCTTTCGGCTCGACCTCTCACAGCCTCACAGGCTTCGAGGGTCATGCTGCTAAAGATTAAATTTATAAAAATTCATTTTTATGTTTCGCCTTAGGGTTTTTAGACGTACCTAAAATGGTATGGGAGGTTGGTGGCGGGGGCGTATGACAATTGGCCATTAGAGGTGAGGAGGGTCCATTGGATGTGTTCTGGTTTGAAGGAAAAAAAGTGATGAGAAAATTTACTAAAATATATTTCTTTAAATTTCAGTTATCGATTAAAATCCTAAAGAAATGTTTTATCTATTTAAATGATGATAAAGTTCCTCCAATCCCTTCTGACATGGAGATCTGCAAACTGCAACTAGTGTGAAGTCCTCTAAACTGGAGGCCACCTTATCCACAGAGGTGCAATCTCTTCTGTAACCTCGGGACTCAAGACCACATCTTCCAGAGTGGTGGTATCATAAATCAGATATTTAAGAAAAATTTACCGGTAGCTCCAATTTTTTTCATGATTTAAAAAAATTCACATTAGGTTAGATTTACATTTGTATATTGCATTTTATATTGCATTTTCTCATTTACCGCAAATATTCAAGTTTAAAATTTCCCTCATTTTAAAGATTTTTTGATACGTTCAACCATTCCTTGCTAGTTTTTCAGGTACATTTTTGGGAAAGGGAGGAGAATATGTTAATGTTGGGACTTCTGAGTAGGTTGAGATTGGAGAAGATACCCCCGGGGGGTAGGAGGTAGGGCGGTTAGGAGGTACTCCTGCGGGGTAGGATGTAGGGTGGCTGGGTGATACTCCTTGAGGGTAGGAGGTAGGGTGGCTTGGAGAGATTCCTGGAGGGTAAGAGGCAGGGTGGTTAGGAGATATGTCTGGAGGGTAGGAGGTAGGGCGGTTAGGAGATATGTCTGGAGGGTAGGAGGTAGGGCGGTTAGGAGATATGTCTGGAGGGTAAGAGTTAGGGGGGTTCGGGGATACTTGAGATAGATAAGTTCTTGATTCCTCTATTAGGAAGGAGGATTGGGCTGTAAGGTATGATGAGGGTCGGGTAGGAGATATAGAAGAACTTATTGAATTAGCACCAGGGGATAAATGGGATATACTACCGTTGTATCCTACTGGCGGTGGGCTGCATGTAAATAATTATAATAATAATAATAATTAAGTTGACAATAATAATAACAATTTGATAACAGGTACACAGGATGAAATAAGCCATGTTCATTTTAAGAATCTTAAGACCTTCTCCTCCTGAGTAAGATTGCATAAACTGGAATTCAACTAATCTCAGATTCAGATTAATTAATTTCATTCTGAGTAGAGGAGACGTAATTATGTATTCTTTTCTTTAAAATTTCTACTTCCATTCCACAACATTCAATTCTACAAGGTTTCTTTCTGCACAATGCATCGCCTTGATCCCATTTCTGATTTTTTAACAGGAAAGTATTAAGATAAGCCACGAGCTTAAATTATGTTATTGACATTTTGACATATTATGCAATTGATTTTTTTTCTAAGCCTCGACAAAAAAATTATTTACATTTCTTCTCCCCC